ATGGTTTCCCCCCCCCCCCCCCCCCCGAAACGCAAAGAGAAAGAAGTCAAGGAACACATCCAGATTTTGCTGCTACAATGACACAAGCTCCTGTATCTCTGGAAATGAGAGCAGGACGATGCTTGAATTCTTGCCCTGTAACATAAAACATCTAGAAAAATAGACAAGCGATTTTGGAATAACTTGGAAATGGGCTATGGAAAACTATCCACCAAGTTATTTTTCAAATTTTGTGGCTTGCTTTCACAGTCTTAAGTTCACGCTGAGTTAAGAGCTCAGAGAACAGAGCTTTTCAGAAAACTGAAGCTATCCTTCACCCACTTACATACCATGTGGAGTAGGATAGGAATGAATGGGACAGGACAAGACGCAGGGCTGCCCAAGCACATGCAACTCCTCAAGATTAAATCCACTGAGCTCATCTCTACGGAAGGTGTCCTGTAATGTGTTGTAGAGCCAGAACATCTCAATGACACAGCTGTATCATGTTCACAGCTTGGGCACCCCTTCATGGCATGACTTTTACCTCCCCAAAGTTACCACATCACCTCTGCTACAGGTGGAGAGGTACTTGAAGAGGTCAACTAATGAAATGTGGTTTCCTAAAGGCCCATCCTCTTAATAAATGTAATTGGTGTCTTGACAACTGTAAGGACCACCTAAAGCCTTTCATTTTGCACCGCAGTCTTTCCCTGCAGCAAGGCGATGTGCAGACACTATTTCTCCTTTACTTTTTCCCCACAGGTTTTATGTATTTATCCTGAGTGTTCCAGCTCTCTTCTGGATAAAACTTAAAATTGAGAAACCATCTCAAAAGTAATTATTAGGGGAATTCCCTTGCAACAGCCATGAGGGAAAGTACTCCACAGCAGGGACAACGCGTAGCATGGCACGTTAATGCAGCCAATTTGCCTCTCACAGAGGACAACAGAAATCAGAGCAGATATCCCAGGTAAGAGAGAGAGCAGGGGCATGCCCATAACTCATTTCTGCCAAATGCTTTCCTTATCTCACATTCCTGCATCGCTCCTTACCAGATTACCAACCTCAAATGGTAATAGAAAGTCAATGTGTACAATGAACAGCAAGAGATTACAGAGAAAAACAAAGCAGAGAGATTGTTAACCTACCAGATCTGTCCAACATTGACTAACGAGAGGTAAAGAACCCACAGGACAGCCATGAGGACCATGTTTGCACATCCAGTTACCAATACAAAGGCTGAAGTTGCCAGGCCAAACAGGGAGAGGTAGTCCAAGATGCTGTCCATGTCTGACCAGTCCAGAAACCAGATGATTGTTGGCGCATAGCTCAGAGCATCCAGGTTTATCTTCCCTTTGAAATACTTTTTGACGTTCTGCAGGTACAGTTTACAAGGGAGCAGCCCCTTCTCTCCTATTAGCTGCTTGTTTTGATGATACGCCACCAGGAAGGCCACAACTAGAGGAAAACAAAGGGGAGGGGGGAAATGAACAGTATTAGAAATCATTCAGGCTGAAGTACATATTTTGAGTCCAGAGTCACAGAAGTATATTCATGCCTCAGGAAGGAATTTATTCACATATCCTCATCTCCATTAAAATACAACACAGTCATTTCTATTAACCACGGTGCAGAAGGCAGAGGAATTCTATAAATACTGTCTCTGCCTTCACACCAGGAAATGGCACAGAGTCTGTTTTGAGATAATTTTCTCCTCAACAGCTGTAAGGGACATGCCACTTGCTTCAGGCAAACTCAACAATGCACTTCTGGGAAAAGCTCCCTGTAACTGAGCGACCTGACCCAATGTAGAAACAGGAGGCTCAGCCCAGCTCTGTTAGACTCTGCGTGACCCTAGGTTAGTCACACACGCTATTCATCTCCTAATGCAGATGAGGAAAACAGCTTAATTGCACTGCAGAGTACAAGTGAAAGTAATATATTAATTTCAAGACTTTCAGACAGAATTTCCTTTCTACAAAACGCATTTGGTAAGGAGACACCGAGAAACCCTCAGTTCACGCACGGATCCTGGGGAGCACAGCTGAAGCAGCCAGAAGAGCACACGCAACTCCCTTCAGCTTTGCAGCAGCAAAGACACAGCTGTACTTTCTGACCCCTCCTATTTCAGTTTCACAAAACATTTTGCCCTGTAAATAGACAACAGCTCCAGCATGGGTTTTGTTGTTGATGGTGATTTACAATGTCTGCTGCTCCCAGCACAAATAACCCACAGCAGACTGATAGCAGATTGTGCCTGCAACGTTATGCTTTGACTTTAGCGGACAACATACCTGCATTTTTACATATCGCTATCTGTGCATCTATCAAGTACTGGATTTTATGCTTATATTGAAAACCCTTAATATTTCAAAATATTGTTAATGAGACAGCTTAAACTCATACACACCATTTAAGAGGTGTCTAAAGGACACCTTAATTCTTCTGGCAGTGTAATGGTTAATGGTTATCCATCGCAATCGCAAAAGACAGTAGTTATGCTATGGGTTGACCTTCTGGATCCTCACATCCTGGTAGGTTGGAAATACAAAGTCTTAATATTTTCCTGTCCTCTAAATTGCTACTTTTTATATGTCACTACAGCGCTCTCATTTATAGTGTCTATGCTCTTGCACTGGACAATCTTAGAACAGCCAGATGCTTTTTTTAACAGCACATAAGCAATTTAATTACAGATTATAGACCTAGAATTTGATGTTCTACAGAGAAAGTTGGTCGGCTTCTAGGGATTATCTCATATTTTAGGAATCTCCTCCAGTTACCAATTTGCAGTTCGTAACTGCAGTAATCTCCATTTCTCAGAAAAAAAAATGAAGGCCAACATTTTCTGATTATGCTTCATACATTTTGCTCCCAGCAGCTAACTTACCCATCTTTCAAACATTATCCAAACACCAGCCACGTCACATGCAGCAATACCAGAGGTCTTGCAAAAGGCCAATCTGTCTCCCCCCAGCCTTCCTCAGTTAATGATCAAATCTGTTTCCTTCCTTATCTGAATACCGTCATTCTGCAAACAAGAATTCTGGTGTTCATCTGGCTGGTGTCTCTCACTGGGAACACTGGTGGAAAGTCTATGTGAAACTATACCCCGAGTTCAGGCCTGGATTCCCACTTCCTTGAAGTTCAACTAACAACCCAAAGTCTGCAGCCCCAGGGAATAAAAATAAATGTCCCATTCCCCCCAGACACACACAAAGGTCTCCAGTGGATTTCAGTTAATCCACTTAACACTTACTCCATCACTTTGCACATGGCGTGTGTTTTGTTCTCATTTGAAAAACCACTAAAACTCACAGTCCAACGCATATCTGAGGTCACTGGGAGGGTTCCCATTGATTTCAACAGATCCTGAATCACAGCGCTAACACAATGAAGTCGGGGGTTTAACTGGTTGCATCTCTTCCCGTCCATCTTTTATACACAGTGAAGGATTTTACAAACTAATAAAAAGACATGCAGAATATTCTACTCAATTACAGACAGGGAGGGACAAGAGAAAAAACAGATCGCAACACTAAAGAATCAGCTTTGGACCTCAAATTAAGTGGTTTATATTTTAGAGTATTCATATTTTTCTATCAACACTCTGTTCAGCACAACTGTGTAATCAGAAAGCCTGACACATGAAACAGGCAGAAATGTAATGCTTCTGAGCCTCAGACAACTTAATATCTTCATTTTTGGTTTAAAAAAAAAAAAATAAAGACCAACTCTGCCTTAAAACTCCATGGCTTGATTTCCCTTGATTAGCACTGCAATTTGCTGCACAGTTTTCCAAAAGTGCTAATCAAATTCACCTCTAAATGCTACAGAAATTGCTGTCCCAACCCATAACTGCTAAGCAGGTTTTTTTCTAAAAAAAATCCAAATTAGACCCCTGCACAGTGTGCAAGATAAACAAGGAAAGGGTAAATTAGGAAAAAGAAACTATAGCAATTGCAGAAAAGTACACACTGTATGTACAAAATACTGTACAGCCTTTTTAAGTCTGAAAGCAGCAAAGACTGCATTATAGGTTGGCATGAACTGCACATCTAAAGATTGCCCAGTTTGGGCTCCAAAGGGGTTTTCTCCCAGAGCACCGATTTCTTACAAGATGCTGCACCGCTGATATTTCATATATTATGATTTCACAACTAAATCCCATCTGCAACAGCCTTAATTCGTTGAAGAACTCATCTAACCCAAACCAAATCCTGACCATTCCACCTACGTTTCGATCCATTGCCCTCCCAAGCCATCGGGGCCCAGGTCCGGCGAGCGCCGTTTATTGCTCACACGTGTGCAGCATTTCCTAGACGTGCTGCTCTGTCCCGGATCCAGCTCCCTCTCCTGGACACTCCCCAAGCTGAGCCACTGTCTCGCACCGTGCTCCCTCTCCACTCATCTCCAGCATCTTTTGGAGCACCTTTGAAGGGCACATCACTTAGGCAGCACCCGCTTCTCAAACCCCACCACCAAATCGTCTAGACCTACTCTCCCAAGGCACCAGCTAAGCCTTCAAGAGGCCTCACCGTGTAGGCAGCAGTTCCCATGTTACCAGACACGTGCAGTAGTTGAAACTAAAGACAGATTCTGCAAAGGATTTCAGCAACACAGGAGATGCACAGATCCAGGGGGAAAAAAGGGAAGTTATTTATCAGCTTGTCATTGCTTCCTCTCCCTGAACTCCTCTCGAGAAACTGTATCCTTAAACTGACTATAACACAGACCCTGCTCCCTTCTCCAGGAACCTTCCCTTTGATCTTGGCTTAGTTGGGGCGGGGGGGAAAAGTCCCTTTTGCCCCCAAAGCCTGTGCTTTTCTTCCTCTTCCTTAACCCCTATTCTGAAACTTCTCTCCTTTTGGCCTCGTATTTGGGGATTTTCCACTCTCCATCTTCCCACTCCCTCCAGGTAAACACTGTCAAACAAGTTTGCTTCCACCTTGGGCACTGGCTGGCATGCTCGCTGCACTGCCAGGGCACGGGGCAAGGTTAGTCGCTTCTCTTGTTTGTCCTGTAGCTTCTTCCTGGCAAGAGGGTGGCAGAGCAGTTCTGTTACATGAACCAGAATTCACCAGTTAGAAACTCAGCCGATGCTGGGGGGACCCACCTACGCAGCATGCTCGGTTCAACGCCATGGGGTCCAAGGCACAGAGTCTGCTCGAGCAATGGCACTGCACCCGCCTCAGCCTCTCCAAACGCTCTGTAAAGCTCTGCTCCTGGGTGTCTGCAAGGTTCGTGTCAGCCCAGGGATGTTCTCATCTCCGGCAGCAAAGAGAGAGGGTCTTACCCAAAGGGATGTTGGAAGAGTGAAAGAGAGTCTGAGCGGGCAGCCGGTAGCCGCTGAGCACCGCTGTTAGCCAGGCAAGCGGGCAGCGTCTCAGTCACCAACAGAGCTGCGAGACTGCATCTCGCTCAGGAGAAGCTGCTTTCCTCCTGAGCAAACGTGACTCCTGGATTTGCAAACTTTGGGCACTGCATTTATCAGTGTCTCCTGTCAGTTCAGGGTTTATTTTTTCCTACAAGAACAGCACAAACACTTGCATTCCTACGTACCAGGCAGCTTGCCTCCACCAGCACCTGAGCTACCTCCAGCTCGGGCATATACTGCACCGAGGAGTCCACGGTGGATTCCCCCAGGATGGAGAAAGCTAACGCAGGGCCTGATCCAGAGTCACCCACTCCTTCCAGCCTCTTTAGCAAGCCAAACCCCTCAGAATGACTCTCACTTTCTGGTATCATCTTACAAAACGAGAGCATAACTGAGAAGGGTGCTTTTTCAGAGTTCAGGATGCACTTTGCCGACCAGGACGCAGAAGCCAATGTTTTCCCATAGCTGTCCTTTCTGGCATCACAGATGGGAACGATGTGAGGCCATGGCTGGGCTCCTAATTCAGGGACATCCCCTGCAGACTCCCAGCACAGCTCTGCACACCTTCAAGTCTCCAAACCCAGCATAAAACCCCATCACCTTGCCCATCACCCCTGTGGCTGCTCACTGCCTGGACTTTTTACCAATACTTCCTGGATTTGGGTATCTTCAGCCCATGCCAGTCTCCTCCCTCTCTCCACCTGAAGCACTTTGCCATTCTTCAGGCTATTTGCTCCTTTGCAGATTGAAAAAAACTCAGCCTCAGCGACTCCCATGCTCCCTCCCACTCAGGAGGCAGATGGAGCCTTTGACAGCTCACATGGGAGCACGCTCCTCTACCTGCTGCGAGCTGATCTTTACATAAGTAATACATGTAAATTGTCATCAACTGCTAATAGACCTTCACTACTTATTCTCACCTCAGAAGGTGCTGTACTGTACTTTTCCATTAACTTCCCCCCTCCACCTTCTCCTTCCCCCCCGCAAACTGCAGGCATTCCTTGTTCAAACCCACATGCTACCAATAAACACAACCCAAACATGCAACACAAGAGTCACCCATCTGAAATGATTTGGTCTATCCATATTGCCCTGTCACCTCAGTTCCTTTCCCTCAGTCCAGGCTCAGCCTGTCATGGTAGGAGAATGAGAGAATCCCATTCTTCATGCTCTGTAAAGATTTAAAGATGTGAAATCCAAAACTTTCCGGTCATATGGCTTTCTCTCTCCCCCCATTAAAAGAAGTCTTAACTTTTACTTAAAGCCCAAACCACAAAAAGAAATGAACCAAGAGCACAGAGCTTTGCATGAAAACCAAACTACATTTTGCACACACAAAAAAAATCTGTCTGGAGCCATATATCAAGTGCACCTTTGACCCAACAAGGCATTGAAAAAAGGCTCTATGCTGGATGCTGGCAAACTGAGGTTGTACTACTGAAGAGAAGAAGAGGGATAATAAGCATGGTCTTTTCATTATTATCAGAGAAATGAATCAAGTAAGTTTTCAATTGATAAATTCCCCTGCAAAGTTCTGCAACACAGAAGCAACAACACCGTAGCACTGAGCAAAGAGCCAGAGTGAAACCAAGCACCCCCTTTTCATCTTGCAACCCTACAGCCACAAATAAACACACAACAAAGTAGCCTGTTCTTAACACTTTTTTGTTTTATTGCCATTCGCACCAAAGCTAAAGACTTCGGGGTGGTTGCTTTGGAGGCTTTTTAAGCGCTTATCTCCCCATTGCCTCTTTGAAATAATGTGAAAGCAAATAGAAAAGGCTAGGCTGTGGCACTGCTAAAAAGCTTCCCCATAGGACCCAGGCTGTTCAAAACCACACCAGTGGCAGCCCAGCCTGCAGCTGGAGGATGCCCTGAGACGATCCCTCTGCTCCAGACCAGCTCTGGGCAAGCAGCAAACTGGGAGACTGATTCTCTCCTTCTTGGTTCTTGTTATCATTTCCCTTAAACTATCACTGCTTGCTATGAATTTATCTTCCCACAGTGAAAGTGCTTTTTTCAGGACCAAACGCACTTCTGTCTTGCTTACACAGCTCTTCCGTGCAGAGTTAAACGGGGGGCATGTAGCTTGCTAAGAGGACACAGTGCTAACATACTGCCTTTGTTGTGCAGACTTGCTAACAAGCATCGCGCTGAAATAAAACCTTTCAGGGAAGAAAAAGGGTCTGAAGATGTACTATAACCCTGATTAGGCAAGCTGAAAGCTACTGGGAGCCTTTTAATATAACTGAGGAAGAGAAGGGGGAAAGCAGGGGAGATGGCAGAGAGACAGAGAGAGGAGGAAGGACACCGGGGAGAGCCAGGAACCTACAGGAAGCCAAACCCCCCTGAGAAGGCTTTAGATTTCAGAATTAGGAAGAAGTAGCATGAACCTCCCGTAGCTCTAGCTCTGGGGAAAGAAAATACTACTATTAAACAATACATAAGGAGAAGGAAGATAAACTGGATTTAAATAATAGCTTTTATTTCAAAGCACTCTACAGAGCCTGGCTGAAATTGGGAAGGGTGGTATCTAATTACTTAAACTTCTACATCTGGAATCTGATTATAGTAATCATCCAAAATGGGCACTTAACAACGATTTAGAAGGAGGGCAAAGGGAGCAAATAATGCATGTTTGTTGTCAAGAGCTTTGGGACCAGCTATTTACCTGTAACAGGACTTCCAACAAGACCTCAAAGACTTTCTGTATTTACAAAATGTCAATTCCTGCCGTAAAGAACAAACACAGAGTGAAAGACCAGGACGGAACACCTTCACATCTCAAAACGGCATTTCTCCAAGCCTCCCTGCCCCATGAATTACTGTATTAGAGATTGCAATTAGCCAGTAATGGACAGGTTGCAACGGTGGAAGGCTGTGAGACAAGTCTCTTCAGTGGGCACACCAGTACTATACAAAGATGCCTCTGCAGAAACAGAGAGAGGGGTCTGGGCAGCAGAGCACAGGGTGAGACCTACGCAATTGTTCTCTTCCTCAGTGTTCAGGGCTGGATTCTGTGTTACTTCACACTCTCCTCCTCCAGAAGGGTTTTACGACTTGGTCTGCCCACACTTACTTGGTGAAGTGAAGAAAGAGGTCCCAGATCTGAAAATGTCTCTGAGGGCTGTCAGTTATAAGAATTTAAGTGTCACCTAATTTACAAGTGAACAGCGCTAGCTACTATTAAAAACAGAATTGCACAGACAGGCATTTCATTTACCTTAGTGCTCAGCTGGGAGGACCCCACTGGCACAGCCCTGCTGCGAAGAGCAAACTCCACTGAGCACTTTCAGCATTTTCCCCTTTCTTCCCATTCCTGCAAGCAGCAGGTGGTTTTGGTCACTGGCCTCCATGAATCAGCAGATCCTTTCCCACCTTCCCATCTCTAACCTGCCTCTCAGACAACACCTGCTTTGCCAGGGACTTCCCAGGCTCTGGCTGCTTCTGGAAACCCCCTTCAAAAAGAAAGAAGAGGAGAGCTGTTATAACCAAAGTGGGTGGGTGAGAAGGGAGGGCACAGAGAAGGACACTTCACGCCTACCTTGCTCTGCCTGTCCTTCTTCCACAGGAGAAGGATCCAAAGAGAAAGCATCTCCCCAGCTCACATCAGGCAATAAAACAGCCTCTCAAGAGTGGAGTGGGGGGCAGGAGGGAAGTGACAGGCCCCCAGATCACGCTTGGCAGTTCTGCCCCTCACCTCAGCTTCACTGTACACCCCAAATCATGTTTTTGTCCATCTCATCCACAGGGTCCTTCACTCTCCCACCTCGGAGAGAGAACAAGCTTTCAGCTCACACAGCTGCACTAATAGGCAGGAGCTGCAATCATCAGGGGGTGACCACTTTCCTGATACTTTAAAACAAGGTGCCCCCAAAGGATTTGTTGCTTAACACAGCAGGAATGAAAGGGTTACGTTTAAAAGGGTGAAATGAAAGAAGGGGGAAAAACATCCCACGACTGAGGAATGTCAAACTGTCACAACGGCATCAACCGTTTCCTCAGCAAGTCTGAGACTCGGCGTGTGCAGAATCGCCGTGTCTGGGAAAAAAAATAATCTGTCAGAGTAAATGGTTCCATCTTCAGAAAAGAGCTTGGAAGAGGTGCTTGGCACAGAGGCTTTAAATTGTTTTCTGCTGTTTCTAAATCCAGGCTCTCAGAAGAGATCAAAAGGCAACCCACCTTCCCTCGAGAGCATCCCACCCCAACAGCCATGTCATGGTTTTGCAGCCTTTGACAGAGGAATCTGCCTCTTCACAATCTCTCTGTCTCAGACATGCCAATTAGTTTCCACTCCACGAGTACTTCGGTTGTAGGCTGTGCAGCGTCTCCCCCGTGCTGGGATCAGAGCTGGAGCCCCAACATCACTGCAAGTGACAGCCCAAGTCAGAATTCGACCTGTCTCAAATCTGGCCCAGGTTTCTGGCTTTGGGTCCCTTGGCTGTTACTCAACCAAAACAAACAGCAGAAATCACTGTTACCTGATCACAATCATGCTGAAGTTGCATAACGAGCAGGTAAACTTTTCCTTTTTTGCACCTCCTCCATTACAAAGGACAGAGCCATCCTCCTACCCTGCTCCTTACAGCTCTGGTACCCAAATCCTTTCCTCTGAGGCTACCTCTCTCAAAAAGGTTTCCTCACTCTGGACTGTGGAAGCATTTTGGGGTCTCCTCCCCGCTTCTGCCGCTCTCAGGTGTTCCCACTCCCCTTTCCTCTTTCGAAAAGGGCTGAATCCAGTTCTTCTCCCTATTTTCTGTTATCTCGCTTTCACTCACCAGCCTGCTACCTCAGCTTCGTCCTCTGGCTTACAAATGCTCACTCTCCCTTTCTCCCTGCAGCCCGTAGGTTTCAGTCATTTTC